GTTAATACGTCTTGTATCAGTTCATTTTCTTCCTCCCTCCCTCCCTCTCTCCTTCCCTCCTTCCTTCCATTTGTGAACACTAGTAAGAATCCCTAAGCCAAAGTTTTATAATCAGTGATCTACTAAGTAGAATGTTTCTCTGAGTTCTCTGAGCTGCTCTAGCTAATTAATCACACCCAAAAAGGTGGTCCTGGGAACCTCTGATCTGGAGCCGGTTGGTCAGAAGCACCGGTGACAGCTGGGCTTGTGACTGGCATCTCAAGTAGCGGCATGAGGCAGTCTTGTGGGATTGAGCCCTTAACCCATGGGATCTGACTCTTACTTCTGGGCAGACAGCGTCAGACCTGAGTTACTTTCTTTACGGCGTGGAAGAAAACACACACATCGGAACTGATGTCAGAATCATACAGGGCCAAGTGGTGGCCAGTCAGAACCTTACTTAGTCGCTGTTGGTGAAAAGCTGATAAAAGTCGGCAAAGACGGGGATCGTCGTCGCTGTCTCGAGTGTTTTCCAAGCCCCTAGAGCAGCCTTGCTCTAGGTGGGTACTCGGTGTATGGCTGCTGAAGGAATGAGTTCATGAATCGGTAATGTTTTCTTTAGTAAATAGTGACTCATCCATTTTCTAAGTGCTTCTTCCTCATACTTCTCTTGAACTAGGTTTTAGGATGCAAAGAAGGACACCAGACAGGAAACTGTGGGCAGCTCTGTAGTGGGAGACAAAGCGGGGAAGCCAGAGGAAGGAAGGTCACAGTGACTTACACACAGGTGACATTCTTGGCAGGTGCAGTGTCAATTAACCGAGCGCTCCTTTCTCTTCCGGAATGGCCACGTGAAGTTTTTATTTACCTGTAAAGGCAGCATTGAAGGAAGAGGGCAGTCCTTGGGAAAATGGTGAAGCTCCTGAATTTTGCCGCCTGCATCATCGGACTCTTCACGCATTCTTTCCCTGTTGGGAGGGTCCCCCTTCCTCGCCGGTGCTGGCAGCCACCTGAGCAGAAGGATTCTGAACACTGGACCGGGACAGGGAGTTCTCAGAGATGGATGTCGGTTTGCAAAGGGAGGCAGAGCTGCAGGAGGCTCGCTGGCGTTGGGTGTATGTAGTCTGAGAACTTATTGTTTCTCTACTTACGGCTTTTTGCTGAGTAGTGCCCCCCCCAGAGGATGGGGCTGTGCGGAGTTTGCCAGGTGCAAAGTTCTGTGTGCTTTTGGTCCTACCATCTGTGCGCCCTGCAGGGAAGGCGGAGCCCTGAGAACCTATCACCCTAGCGCCTAGTCTGAGCAGCAAGCGTTCTGTGCCATCAGGTGATGTGTTTCTGAACAGGAGCCAGTCACCTGGAAATTTATCTCCTCTCTTTTCCGAATGCCCTTTGTACTCATGGGGAGCCAGCAGGCTGCAGAGATAACTCGGGGGGTCATTGCCATCAGCAGATCTACCATATTAGAAAATAAGTGCTTCATATACATAATTTTTTAGTCTTCTTAAAACATCTCTAATGTAGGTATTACCGTTAGCATTTTATGGAATTAGAAACTGAGTTCAGAGAGATTTAGAGACTTAACTGCCAAAGGCCAGTTTGTGGGAGGGTTGGGATTCAAACTCCTGTTGCAGTGACTACGCCTGTGCTCTGTGCTCTCTCAGACAACCTAATGGGCATGGCAGCTAGAGAATGGGGAAGGAGCATGACCTACAGAACTCTCCACCCCAGCTTCCCCAGCTTATTAATATGTAACTAATAGGTCTTGTCTTCCATTCCAACTCAGAGAGGCGTCTGATAGCCAGTTGAGTTGCGCTGATAGCCAGTGGCAGCTCCTGGAAGCTGATTGCTAGGAGATGCCAAAATAGGATAAGTAGTAGTTTCAGTGTCAAGGGCTTCCTTTCAGTCACAGCACCGAGGCCCAGAGGTTGCTGTGCCTGGATTACAGATTCTCTGGCCCCAAAAGGTCACAGTTTTCCACCACCCTCTTCCTCTGATTTCTGGCCAGAGGCTCTGTAATTTTAGGGAACTAGTTATTCCTCTGTTGTCCCTTGAGTCAGCATTTTGGGCAGGTTAGAGCCTCTCTGGCTCCATGAGAACAGGGACCAACTATAGTCATTGCATAATGCCTGGCACAAATTAATGAATGCTTAATCAATATTGCAAATGACTGAATGGTTGCAAGTTTAAAACTTAGAGACACCAAAAAGGTGTAACTCCTAAGAAATAAACCAAAGTTTGTCATACATACACTTGGCACCAGTGTAAGTCAGGCCATCTTTGTCCTTAGGAGGAGCCTATTCCAAATTGAAAAAAAGGAAAAATAGGCTTAACTTTTAAATAGCTTCAAATGCACACAGGGAGCAAATTGGTGGTATGTGATAGTGGTTCATAACATTTAGTGTCTTGTGACAGTTTGAATTACTTTTAAAGAGGTTCCTGAGAAGCTGCAAAAAGCCTAGAGAACATGTACAGTGGATTTAATACATTGAAATCACCTCTACTTTTGGAGACATTGGTATTGGAGTCTGTCTCTAGTTGAAGCCTCCTAGTGAACTTGAGCTTTGAACTGCAGGTATGAAGGTGTGGTTTCTAAGGGCTGGGAGGTACTTTGCCTGCCAAGTGAACTGGAAAAGGCAGGTCCTGTGAATCTTCCCCACAAGGGGCTGGGATTACTCTGCCCACAGGGATTCAGCCACCTTACTCTCTCCTATCATGTACATAGGAAACATATTTTCCTCCTTCCTAGATCGACTCACTCCATGTATCCCCATTACTGGCAGATACCTGGGGTTGAGAAATAGCACCAACTCTGCTTACTCAGATGGGAGGGTGATCTAGGTAGAAATAAATCGCTCTAATTGCTATATAAAGTACTTTCTGAATAGTACACTTGTAATGCTGCTATAGGTGTTGATTCCTTTATTATGCTTGAAGTCTGCATCCTTTTCTCGGTCCTCTGAGTTCCTGCTTCTGTTGCTTTAATGAATCCTTATTGTAGTTAGTGTTATAAGAAACCCAAGCTCACAACTAGACAGTGAGTATATGACCTCTCTTTCTAGGAAGAAAATATCCCAAGTGACTGATAACTTGAGACTACGTGGAAATATAACTCACTCCTTTATAATTCCTAAGTGCAAAATAATAGCAAATAATAGGATTGTAATGAAATTCAGCACGTATGCTGGTAGTAGCAGATAGTATTTGGAACAACTAGAGGAATAGAAGGGTACTAGTCAGTAAGACTGCCTCCTTCACTCATGATCTTAATGAGATTGGGCAGGTTGTTTTGATCTAACATCTCATGTAGATCCTTTGGCAAGTGAGTATGGAGTTTAGGTTTCACTGTAGGACATCCAGAAAATAATCCACTGTAAACATTAGGCTTATATTCTTTGTGCTTATAGAGACCCAACCTAGTTCCTTGTGGTCATGATGGGCAGGGCTGTAAGCACCTGAAAAAACTTATTTCTACAGGCATTTGTTTCCTGTCAAACAAAAAATAATTGTATTATAGAAAATACTGAAAATAGACAAGAGAGATCAAAGAATCACCCAACTAACCAATAAAATCATTTTGCTGTATTTCTTTGTCTAAGTGAATTATACAGTTAACGAATGATGGTATTCCCATTACAGAAAGTATATAGAGTAAAATATGAAAGTTTTCTCCCTCCCCAGAGATCACAACTGTTAACAATTTGGAGTATTTGATTAAACTGTTAAAATGGATGTTTACATTTACAAATATATATAAATGCAAAAATGTGGAACACATAATATTCTGCAACCTTTATTGTTAGTTAATATTGTCTGTTAGAACTCTTTCAGTAACAGTAAGTAGAGAGATCTACTTGTAGCCTTTGAAATGATTGCAGAGTATTCCATAGTTTCTATATACAGAAATACTTACCTATTTATGGATATTTACCTTGTTTCCAGTCAGTCATTATGACAGTAGTATAGGGAACATCCTTATACTTGTATTTTTGGGCACTTGATCATAATATGTGTCTACTTCTGTAGGATACATTCCTAAACAGAATGGCTGGGCCCAATAGTATGTGCTTTCTAACACCGGTATGGTCAATCTTGTGTATTTTCATTAAACTAATAGATTTAAGATATTTCATTATTTAGGTTTTTCTTTATCTTTTTTTTAATGAAGTTTTTCTATTGAATCTTGTTTATTTCATTTTTATTACATGAATGATAATGTTATCTATAACAGTTGGGAAGTGATTGTGCCGAAATATGTGTTTAGACCTAACATCATCTTTGTGCATTTAGCTGTTCTGTCTAGGTTACTCCTTGAGGCTAAATGCCTAGAAGAAACAATAAGTCATAGTCATTTTTATGAGATCTAACATGTATTTAGGTTTTATCAAGTTTCTTTACTAATGATTGATCAACATCTTAAGTTCCATGCCTTCTACCTTATATTTTTGTGCTTTCTGTAAACATTCACCACTATCTAAATATTCATGGGTGAACCTTACTTGATGCATTATCGTCCTTTGGTCCTGAAAAATAATGTAGATTTCCACTAGAGATTTTCTCAGAGGGGGCATTCTGAATGTTTTACCCAGCATATGCCATACTAAGTTTCCCAGAATCCTCTAGGACAGCTGCTCAAATGGCTCAGTTTACCCTTATTCATTTGGTAGGTCCTGTCACCTCCATGCTGCTGTTTCTCTTCTGCTCCATCTCTCTGAGCTCTGCAGGCTCAGGCATGACCTATACCTGTAGGCTTTGCCCCCTGGAAATGGAATTTCTCACTCTCTGACTGCTTTTCTTGAGAAAATGCTGATGAGTAGAATTCTCTGCTTTACCATGTAAGAAAAATACTGTTCATATCTTTTCATATTTTTTAACTCTAATAGAAAAAAGGAGTTAGCTGTAGGTTGTGACTTAGAACTGAAGGGGGCCTCCTGGGTTGATGCTTGGGGTCCATTTTTTGAATGTTTGATAATTTGAGTTTAATATTCTTAAAATGTGTCCTCTTTTGTTTTTTTCTCCCCTAGGTGAACGTCGGATGTGTACCCAAAAAGGTAGAATTTTTTAATTTCTCTTCCTTCCCACACTCCTTTTACATATTTGGTAAATCATGATCAGACTGAGGATGTTTCCCAATGTATCCTTTAAAACTCTTCCTGCAAAAAGTTAACTGAAAACCCAACTGAAAGTGGCTTAAACAATAGGGTATTTTACTACCACTTGTTAAGAAGCCTGGGGATAGGCTGTTTCCGAGATCTCTGAAAGAACCCTGGCTCTCTCCATCTTTCAATTCGGTTATCCATTCCAAGTGTATAATCAACAGTGCACACCCACCCCGCGCCCCTGGTCCCCCAATCCCTCATGGTCGCAGGATGGCTCCAGGAGCTCCAGGCAGGATGTCCTCATCTGGCACAGTCTCTGCAGATTGTCTCAGAGACTCCTGGCCAGGACCAAGCTACTGCAGAGGGTACACTGGGCCAATGAGTGGCATTTTCAGCTACAAAGGGGAGAGAAGGGCTCCTGGAGACATCACCCAGAAATATCAGCTCCTGGACACTAATTGCATCAAGTGTGCAAAAGAAATTCCTCCTGGTCATTGGCCATGTCCTATGTTCTCATAATGACCAAGTTCCTTTGAGGGTTCAGAGTGGAGGTAGTTGAAATGGAATGTAGTGTCTGGTCTCAAGCTTCTGATGGACTAGAAAGGAACAAAGAGCAACAAAACATCAATAGTCATGGTGTAAAAGAAAAGCACTAACCAACTGCACAGGGTAACCTTTTCTTTTTATTTTTTTTTGTCGAGCCACTGATTGCTTTAATTGACCCTGTTACACTTCACTGGTGCATATAAACAACAGGGAATTTAACTGCTCTAAATTGGATTAGCTGATGCAACCTTTTCTTAATAGTGAGAGCCAGTCAGGAAATCAAAGTTTATACCCAACTTCTAGCCCAAGTACTGAGATGACCAGGACTAGATGGATGGTGGCACATGGCTGCTCCTCCCACACGTGGCTCTGGTTACTGACCTGGGATCCTGGGGTGACTCTGTAGAGGGCAGGCCTTTTGCCTCAAGCTGTCTTATTTTCTCCCACTCCCGTTTTAATGCATCTCTGAATCTGTTTTTCCCAGGGAGACTAGAACTGGTTTTACTGTTTTTCTCCTGGAAAGATGAGTCAGGATTGTTGTGAGCTTTTTGTTTTATTTTGTTGGTGGAAGCTCTTGTTTTTAAACACGGTAATCTATTGCCTTCTAAGTTATTTGTGTTAACATCATTTATCCTGTGACTCATGGCCACTCTAATTTGGATTTCTCAAGTTGCTTGAATGACATTTCTGAGTACAGTATTTACATACTTTCATGGTAAGCAGTCTGTTGATAGAATTGTTGGGTACTTGGGTCCCAGTTAACCATCTTTGCTTTTCCAGAGATTCCAGTTTATAGATCATGAATTCATTACTTGACATCACAAGGAATAGTTTTGTAAAATAACAACACTGATTTATTAGTTTAGAGCAAGTGAGAATTTATCTAGACCTAATAGTTAGGACTAGTCATCTACCCAGGATAGCTTTTTCTCAACAGGGAGACCTAGCTGGCAATCCAAATTGAACGGACTCAAGTATTCCCATTCCATTCTGTGGCCTCATGGAATCTCTTTACCACTGGAGTGAGTTTTGGTTCTAATCTCTGTGGTGCAGGTCACATTGAATGAACTCATCCTTTACCTGTGACAAAGAGGGAGAAAAAATAGCTCTTATTCCCAACCGAAGCTGCCTCTTGCTTATGTTTGCAAATAATTTTACTCCTAATTTGAATGTACTTTGAAAACATATAATCCCAAGATTACAATTTCTTGTTACTGAGATTACATTTTAAATTGGCAGTTTGGGGGTATTATGTAAGGAAGTTTAATCTCATCAGTGACATATGAGTTTAATTACAGAAAGACTTTCTGTAATCTGTTCCCTAGTGTAAGGTAGTTTTTTGTCTGTTTCAGGAAAATTTCTTTTTTCCTCAATTATTTTCTTTCCTTTCTGTCCTAGATTTTGTAATCTGTTCTACTTGGAGTCATGCAGTTATGGATATATGAATTACATGAACTAGTTGCAAGGTGGTTTTATGGAGTTTAAACCATTTAAAGTAAATCCAGTATTGATTGGTGCTACCTCATTGTTTAAAAGTACACCTGAGCTAATACTGCATTGTGGCCTAAATTTGTAAAATTTTGTTCCCATATATAATGTTTGATTTATTCCTTCTATTCTGATGACATGTGCTATAAATTAACCTTATATTTGTATAGGGCTCTCCTGACTTCAAAGTGCTTTTGCATTCTTGAAAATCAGTGGGTAGTTGCCTCATGTTTTGTAGATGAATAGACCAAAGTCTAGAGTAACTGCTCCCTGCAGAAGACAGAAGCAGTAGTTGACAAGGAACCAGATGGAACCAGATGGACAAACCTGCCCCCACCGTGATTAAGTCTGAGCCTAATACCAATGCACCTCATACGGAGGCACCTCACCAGACCATCTCTGATGCTGTAGCATCGTGTAATAGCAACTGGAAGTAAATAAAAATGGTGCCTCGTGGGTGAGGCTTAGAACCTCACCCCCCCGTTTTGAGAGAAATCTCCTGCATCCGTGGATGTTTTATTGCCCTTGTCTAGCTTGGATTAACACTTAGTCTACAGGCACACACCTGATCATCTACATTTGCTCTCTTACAGCACTAAACTATGTTTTCTACCTTTATCTTGCATCTACCTACCACTTCAGCATATTATTAAAAATAATAATAATAATAATAATAAGGGAGAAATGTGGGATTCACATATAAATAAAGTATAAAAATCAAACGAATATTCATATTTGACCTGATTGTCTATAGTTCATAATGCGTGATCAAAACTGAAAGTTTCTGTGATGAATGCCCTTGCACTGTTCACCATGTAAGAACTTATTCACTATGTAAGAACTTGTTCACCATGTAAGAACTTGTTCGTTATGCTTCAGAAGATTGGAGACTGTTGAGAATTAGGTTTGGGGTCGATTAATGATTGTGCATTGAGTCCCCTATACAGAATTTTATTGTTGTTAACAACCATTTGATCAATAAATATGAGAGATACCCTCTCAAAAAAAAAAAATGGTGCCTCGTGAAAATAAGGGGTAGAGTGATGTTTCTTAAAGTCACACAATGTATTTGTGGCATTGATAAGCCTCTCATATGCATTGTTTAATTGGTTTTTATATTTACCTTTGGTACATAAAGTAAAATGCCCATATCTTAGTGTATCATTGGATGAATTTTAACATATATACATTAAGATAAAGAATCTAGCAGATAACTATGGTTAACTGTATGTTATGTGAATTTCACCTCAGTAAAAATAAGTAACAAAAAAAACCAGAGTGAAGCAGAGTCACAGTTTAGTCACCTTTAGGCATAAAGGGAGAAAGGCATAAAGAAGTAATCTCAGGCCTGTCTGACAAAGATGAGTGGTAGTTTGTCTTTGATCTACTAGAGTTCTGGATGCCAGTTTAGATTCAGTTACCATGGTGATCAGTTGGCATAAAAAGCCTTTACAGGTGACAGGCTACATTCCATGAGCAATGCATCAAAACTTTGAGTTTTGCAGGTGTCTAATTACATCCTTGCAAGGACATGTTCCTTGTTACTGAGTATATTACAGAAATCCATTCTCTGGAAGTTTTCAGTCCTCAACTTTATCTAATAGCTTCCCCCTAAATCACTTTACTGTGAAGTTACAGGTTGCAGTCCTAGAACTAATCCCAAAAGGCATGGCATAAAGAAATCTGAAACCTTAAGAGAGCAGTAGCACATTTTAATGGAAGGACTATGAGGCTTATAATATCCTGCTTTTCTAGAGTTTAATAAACTAGGGAATTTCACAGAAGTAATTTCCCCAGCAATTCAGAAGCCTAACTATAAAATATCTCTGAACTGATTTCTGAATTTTTCTTTTAAAATGTTTAGTTTTATTTTTAACTTAAAGTTCAGTATTTTTACCTTCTACTATATAGTTAACTTTCATTTGTAATTTCTGTGTTTCCTCAGGACTCACGGACTACTGTTTTGGGTACTTTTTTTTTTTTTTAGGTAATGTGGAACACAGCTGTCCACTCTGAATTCCTGCATGATCATGTTGATTATGGCTTTGAAAGTTGTGAGAGTAAATTCAGTTGGCGGTAAGTGTTCATGTTCCAAATCAGTTGGTGGGAGCTGTTCATTTCAGAGGGTTTGATTTAGAAGTATAAATTTTTAAAATTAAATTATCATTGATATGCAATCTTATGTTGGTTTCAAATATACAGCACAGTTCAATGGTTACCCATACTATTAAATCCTCACCCCCTCTAGTGCTATTACTATCTATCAATGTAGTAACATGTTATAGATGCATTGACTGTATTCTCCCTGCTGTACTACCATCCCCATGACCAACTTATATTATGATTGTGAATTATAGATATAGATATTTTTCATAATTAAATGAGCTAGAAGCTTTTTTGAGAGGGGTTATTATGGTAAACTATATATAGTATAAATTCTTAGAAGCAATGGATATGTTTATCATCTTGTGTGATGATTTCATAGGAATATAACTTATCTATAAACTCATCAAGTTGTATACATCAAGTATATACAACTTTTTATATGCTAATCATACCTTACTAAAGTGGTTTTAAAATACACACACACACACACACACACACACACAATGTCCATTTTGCCATTTTTAAGTTGACTATTCAGTGGCATTAAGTATATTCATAGTGTTGTGAAATCCTCACCATTTTCCATTTCCAGAACTTTCTACCATCCTGAACAGAAACAATGTACCCATTAAACAATAACTCTTCATTTCTCTTCTCTGTAATCTCTGTTCTGCTTTCTGTCTTTATGCATTTGCCTATTTTAGGTACTTCATAATCATATTTGTCCTTTTAAGCCTGGCTTATTTCACTTAGCGTAATGTTTTCAAAGTTCGTCCATGGCATGTGTCAGAATTTCCTTCCTTTTTAAGGCTGAGTGAGTGACAATTCCTTTGTGTTTATATACTGCATTTTGTTTATCCATTCATCCTTCAATGAACTTCTGGGTTGTTTCTACCTTTGTCTGTTGTGAATAATGCTTTTATGAACATTGGTCTACAAGTCCCTGTTTTAAATTCTTTTGAATTTACACCTAGAAATGAAATTGCTGGGTCATATGCCAATTTTATGTTAAACTTTTTGAGGAACTGCCACAGACTTTTTGAAGCCAACACATTTTTTCGAATTTTAGCATATTAATTTGTTCAACAAATACTGAGTGGCCAGCATGTTTAGACACTCTGCTGCCAAGTAGCTGTCCTGGTCTTCCATGCAGAAAGACACTTACATAGTATAGATGCCAGTCGAACATTCTCCATGGAATAGAATAAGCAGTCTCTACATGTGGGACAGCAGATGTGCATGGGGAAGTGACTGTCATTGGACATTTACTCATGGGGTTCTTGCTGACAGTCTGTGATTCTATGCTCAGGGTGTTGAGGGACAGACGCCCTAGTTTCTGACTGAAAGAGGAGGGTCTTGTTTCTCACCACTGACTCAGGTTTCATTGCAGTGTTATCAAGGAAAAGCGGGATGCCTATGTGAGCCGCCTGAACACCATCTATCAGAATAATCTAACCAAGGTGAGTGCATGGTTTTGAACTCCAAGGAGTAGCTATTCTCCACTGGAGTGTGCTGCTAAATTGGGCGAGACTAAAATTTAGTCTTTGCATTTATTTCATTGTGTCTTTTATTTCTTGAAATCAGTGATTTTGAGGTTGACCTGTCAGAGAGGTCTCTGAGTCGGTAGGCCAGTCTCTTGTGTGTAGAAAGTGGGCAGTGTGTGCCCAAGTTGGGAGATCTGTCTCACCTGATGGCTGAGCCTGGTGTAGGTCTGGCCCTCCAGTTAGGTTCCAGAAACCAAATGCGTAAGAGACTGATTTATGCAACACATGCCAGTTTAGTCATTCAAGTCGGGAGCATCATCTGGCTAGCAACCTGCCATTGTTCACGTGCTCCGAGCAGCCTCATCCGTAGTGGCTAGCTCTCCTCGGGGCAGATTGTGGTTCCAAAGGTTGTTTGTTTTGTGTATGACATTTGATCGAGAAAATTGGACAAAGGTGTGTTTGCCTATAGCAAATAGATGTTGTCCTTTGCTGTTCTGAGGCGTTTCTACCTTCAGGTTTAGATGTCACACCTCTTCCACTGAGGACTATGCCAGAGACACTGACAAACTGTGATCATCCAGTTTTCCTTTTTGACAATGTGTATCCCACCCTCCTCCTGCGTCTCTGGTCTCATTTTGCAGTTTCTAAGATTTCAACATAGCTTAGGTTATATTGAGGTCAGTCCATTCTTGATATTTGGGCCATCATAAGCTCACTAGCAGCATGTTTATAAACCAGTTTTACATGAGTTATTTCTACATATGGCCAACTTCATACTTTTTTATACTGATGATTATCATTGGATTTATATTTTGGACATTGATATTTTCTGACCTTCATCCCCAATTCAAGGGGGAAATATTTGGGGACCTTCAGCCCCCTATGCACTGACGACAAGAGATCCTCAGGCTGTTAGACCTAAGTATACAGATACCACCTTGCTATACTAATGTACCCACAGCAAAAATTTTTTTAAATGAAACTAACTAAAATGTTGTGCAAAAGAGGTAGGAAAATTACTCAGGAAACAGCATTTTTTAATATTCATAAATCTTGGTGTGTAGAACTTACTGTGACCTTATAGGAAAGGAATTATAGTTGATCCAGAAATTCTGAATAGGAAAGGAAGCTTTCTGTAAACAGAAATGTCATCAGTTCCTCCTCCAGATGATTATCTCTATGACTGCCACTTGACCCATACCCCTTTTTGTCTGGCACCCCAGAGGAAAAATCATTACCTCCTGAAGGAAGGTTTTTCTGGAGGCGTGTGGCGTTTGGCATGGATCTCAATGAGGCATGATTAAGCAGGGCACCTGCAGAACACTCCAGGAAGGGTGAACACAAAGGAGGAGATGATTCACCTCGGAACCAAGCTTATTCCAAAATGTTCAAACATTCTCTTCTGTGATTGTGTTCACACGGTTCCATTGTCCTTGTAAGCTGCCCACATTTGCATGCTAATACCGGTATCCTGGCTGGTGGAAGCTTGCTGGCAATCCCCAAATTGAGGCCCTGGCATGGAGGATGCCAGGAAGAGTGAATCAGAGTCTGAGTTCTTAACATTTCTTGCGTAGAATTTCGTTGTCACGTGACTTTGCATTAAATATATCATGCCATTCTCTTCTGGACTGTAAGGTTTCTGTTGAGAAGTCTGATGATAGCCTGATGGGTTTTCCTTTGTAGGTGACCTTTTTTCTCTCTCTCACTGCCTTTAATACTCTGTCCTTGTCCTTGATCTTTGCCATTTTAATTATTATGTGTCTTGGCGTTATCTTCTTTGGGTCCCTTCTGTTGGGGGTTCTGTGTACTTCTGTGGTCTGAGCAACTATTTTCTCCCCCAGTTTGGGGAAGTTTTCAGCAATTACTTCTTCAAATACACTTTCTATCCCTTTTTCTCTCTCTTCTTCTGGTACCTATAATGCAGATATTGTTCCTTTTGGATTGGTCACACAGTTCTCTTAATATTGTTTCATTCCTGGAGATCCTTTTATCTCTCTCTGCGTCAGCTTCTATGCGTTCCTGTTCTCTAGTTTCTAATCCATCAATGGCCTCTTGCATCTCATCCATTCTGCTTTTAAATCCTTCCAGAGATTGTTTTATTTCTGTTTTCTCTCTCCTTAGCTCTTACATATTTCTCTGCAAGTCCATCAGCATGGTTATGACCTTAGTTTTAAATTCTCTTTCAGGAAGATTGGTTAGGTCTGTCTCTTCAGATTCCTTGTCAGGGGAGACTGTCTGGGTTAATCTGGTCTATATGAAATTCTTCTGCCTTTTCATGGTGATAGAGATAGTCGTGGATAGTTGGCATGTGTCAGCTGGGAGAATGTCCCTTCTTGCTAGTTTGTGGCCTTTCTCTCCTGGGAGACCTCTAGCAACTTGTGCTGGGCAGTTGTGCGCAAACGGGGTCTCTGAGTCTTGCCTGGGCCGCTGTGAAGGAAACTCTGTGTGCGGTTGCTTTGGGCATGGCCGCTCTCAGGCTGCTGCTCCTCTTTGGTGGTGCCGTGCTGGAGCGGGAACGGGTGGGAGGCTGTTTATCGCCATGAGGAGCCTCGGAGCTGCGCTGCTGCCCAGGGGGTTAGGGCGCCCGGAGTTCCCCAGGATTCCCAGCTGCTGGGCTAAGTGTCCCGGGACGCTTCCATCCAGCTGTGGGGTCCCTGTCCCTTTAAGACTTTCAAAGAGCACTCGCTTTTCTTTGTTCCCAGGGGCACCAGCTGCGGGGACCTGCTCACAGGTCTAACTGTCCCGTTTCCCTAGTTTCCAGCACCCCACACACGCACTGTGTCTGCGCTCCGGTGCGGATGGCTAGGGCTGGGTGTTTAGCAGTCCTGGGCTCCCTCTCCCTCCCCGCTCTGACTCCTCTCCTCCCACCGGGAGCTGGGGGGAGGGGCACTCAGGTCCCGCCAGGCCATGTCTTGTATCTTACCCTCTTCGCCAGGTGCTGGGTTCTCGCAGGTGTGGATATAGCCTGGCTGTTGTGCTGTATCTTCTGGTTTCTCTTTTAGGGAGAGTTGTATTTGTTGTATTTTCAAAAATATATGTGGTTTTGGGAGGAGATTTCCACTGCTCTACTCACATCGCCATCTTGGTTCCTGACTTCTGTTGTCACGTGACTTTGTGGCATTCTTCCCTTTTTAAGAACACAGAAGCGTTGCTTTCTCCCTTGGCCGGTGTATTTCTCTTTGCCCCTTCATCTTCCTCAGCCTCTTGTCCCCCCTCCGGACACAGCAGTCTTCAGTGTGTCTTCATTGTAAGTGAGGAAGACTTTCTCTCTTAATTCCTGGGGACAAAGATAGAGTCTTTTTCCTAGTGGGGGTGACTTGCCTGTAACTTGAATTCTCTGGGTTTTGGCCCAAGATGGCACCTTTATTTCTTCTTACTGAACACTTCCAGCATCAAATGTCAGCCCTCTTTCTTAAGCATCAGTTAACTGTCAGAAGTTCTGCAGAAACTCAAGCACTGGAGGGTTGAGTCTTGTCATCCGCAAACCCAGAGTCCGACTCCTCGGCGGAGAAATGGAAAGAACTGCGAAGTGGCAGCTGATGTTCGTGTTTTATTGATGAACAGGCTAACGTTGTGGTTCCCTCTGCAGTCCCATATAGAAATCATCCACGGCCATGCAGCATTCACGGGCAATCCCAAGCCCACCTCTAAGATTTCAACATAGCTTAGGTTATATTGAGGTCAGTCCATTCTTGATATTTGGGCCATCATAAGCTCACTAGCAGCATGTTTATAAACCAGTTTTACATGAGTTATTTCTACATATGGCCAACTTCATACTTTTTTATACTGATGATTATCATTGGATTTATATTTTGGACATTGATATTTTCTGACCTTCATCCCCAATTCAAGGGGGAAATATTTGGGGACCTTCAGCCCCCTATGCACTGACGACAAGAGATCCTCAGGCTGTTAGACCTAAGTATACAGATACCACCTTGCTATACTAATGTACCCACAGCAAAAATTTTTTTAAATGAAACTAACTAAAATGTTGTGCAAAAGAGGTAGGAAAATTACTCAGGAAACAGCATTTTTTAATATTCATAAATCTTGGTGTGTAGAACTTACTGTGACCTTATAGGAAAGGAATTATAGTTGATCCAGAAATTCTGAATAGGAAAGGAAGCTTTCTGTAAACAGAAATGTCATCAGTTCCTCCTCCAGATGATTATCTCTATGACTGCCACTTGACCCATACCCCTTTTTGTCTGGCACCCCAGAGGAAAAATCATTACCTCCTGAAGGAAGGTTTTTCTGGAGGCGTGTGGCGTTTGGCATGGATCTCAATGAGGCATGATTAAGCAGGGCACCTGCAGAACACTCCAGGAAGGGTGAACACAAAGGAGGAGATGATTCACCTCGGAACCAAGCTTATTCCAAAATGTTCAAACATTCTCTTCTGTGATTGTGTTCACACGGTTCCATTGTCCTTGTAAGCTGCCCACATTTGCATGCTAATACCGGTATCCTGGCTGGTGGAAGCTTGCTGGCAATCCCCAAATTGAGGCCCTGGCATGGAGGATGCCAGGAAGAGTGAATCAGAGTCTGAGTTCTTAACATTTCTTGCGTAGAATTTCGTTGTCATGTGACTTTGCATTAAATATATCATGCCATTCTCTTCTGGACTGTAAGGTTTCTGTTGAGAAGTCTGATGATAGCCTGATGGGTTTTCCTTTGTAGGTGACCTTTTTTCTCTCTCTCACTGCCTTTAATACTCTGTCCTTGTCCTTGATCTTTGCCATTTTAATTATTATGTGTCTTGGCGTTATCTTCTTTGGGTCCCTTCTGTTGGGGGTTCTGTGTACTTCTGTGGTCTGAGCAACTATTTTCTCCCCCAGTTTGGGGATGTTTTCAGCAATTACTTCTTCAAATACACTTTCTATCCCTTTTTCTCTCTCTTCTTCTTCTGGTACCTATAATGCGGATATTGTTCCTTTTGGATTGGTCACACAGTTCTCTTAATATTGTTTCATTCCTGGAGATCCTTTTATCTCTCTCTGCGTCAGCTTCTATGCGTTCCTGTTCTCTAGTTTCTAATCCATCAATGGCCTCTTGCATCTCATCCATTCTGCTTTTAAATCCTTCCAGAGATTGTTTTATTTCTGTTTTCTCTCTCCTTAGCTCTTACATATTTCTCTGCAAGTCCATCAGCATGGTTATGACCTTAGTTTTAAATTCTCTTTCAGGAAGATTGGTTAGGTCTGTCTCTTCAGATTCCTTGTCAGGGGAGACTGTCTGGGTTAATCTGGTCTGTATGAAATTCTTCTGCCTTTTCATGGTGATAGAGATAGTCGTGGATAGTTGGCATCTGTCAGCTGGGAGAATGTCCCCTCTTGCTAGTTTGTGGCCTTTCTCTCCTGGGAGACCTCTAGCAACTTGTGCTGGGCAGTTGTGCGCAAACGGGGTCTCTGAGTCTTGCCTGGGCCGCTGTGAAGGAAACTCTGTGTGCGGTTGCTTTGGGCATGGCCGCTCTCAGGCTGCTGCTCCACTATGGTGGTGCCGTGCTGGAGCGGGAACGGGTGGGAGGCTGTTTATCGCCATGAGGAGCCTCGGAGCTGCGCTGCTGCCCAGGGGGTTAGGGCGCCCGGAGTTCCCCAGGATTCCCAGCTGCTGGGCTAAGTGTCCCGGGACGCTTCCATCCAGCTGTGGGGTCCCTGTCCCTTTAAGACTTTCAAAGAGCACTCGCTTTTCTTTGTTCCCAGGGGCACCAGCTGCGGGGACCTGCTCACAGGTCTAACTGTCCCGTTTCCCTAGTTTCCAGCACCCCACACACGCACTGTGTCTGCGCTCCGGTGCGGATGGCTAGGGCTGGGTGTTTAGCAGTCCTGGGCTCCCTCTCCCTCCCCGCTCTGACTCCTCTCCTCCCACCGGGAGCTGGGGGGAGGGGCGCTCAGGTCCCGCCAGGCCATGTCTTGTATCTTACCCTCTTCGCCAGGTGCTGGGTTCTCGCAGGTGTGGATATAGCCTGGCTGTTGTGCTGTATCTTCTGGTTTCTCTTTTAGGGAGAGTTGTATTTGTTGTATTTTCAAAAATATATGTGGTTTTGGGAGGAGATTTCCACTGCTCTACTCACATCGCCATCTTGGTTCCTGACTTCTGTTGTCACGTGACTTTGTGGCATTCTTCCCTTTTTAAGAACACAGAAGCATTGCTTTCTCCCTTGGCCGGTGTATTTCTCTTTGCCCCTTCATCTTCCTCAGCCTCTTGTCCCCCCTCCGGACACAGCAGTCTTCAGTGTGTCTTCATTGTAAGTGAGGAAGACTTTCTCTCTTAATTCCTGGGGACAAAGATAGAGTCTTTTTCCTAGTGGGGGTGACTTGCCTGTAACTTGAATTCTCTGGGTTTTGGCCCAAGATGGCACCTTTATTTCTTCTTACTGAACACTTCCAGCATCAAATGTCAGCCCTCTTTCTTAAGCATCAGTTAACTGTCAGAAGTTCTGCAGAAACTCAAGCACTGGAGGGTTGAGTCTTGTCATCCGCAAACCCAGAGTCCGACTCCTTGGCGGAGAAACGGAAAGAACTGCGAAGTGGCAGCTGATGTTCGTGTTTTATTGATGAACAGGCTAACGTTGTGGTTCCCTCTGCAGTCCCATATAGAAATCATCCACGGCCATGCAGCATTCACGGGCAATCCCAAGCCCACCGTGGAGGTCGCGGGGAAAAAATACACCGCTCCTCACATCCTGATCGCCACAGGAGGCACGCCCTCCCGTCCTCCCGAGAGCCGGATTCCCGGTGAGTCTCCAAAGGCAAATGCTTGGTGATAGCAGTCAAGAGGAGTTTGCTGCTGTCTTCAACACGCAAGCCATGCCAGGGCGTCTGCCGATACCAGTTCTTTCTCTCTCGGAGAAAGCCACAGGACTGCGAGAGAAGGTCTTTACAGAATCCAAATGTAATTGGCTTCAGTGGTACCCAGTGATAGGGCAAAGAAAGAGATTTCTTCCAGCTTGAGGCTCAGACATATTACAGGTAACAGGCAGAAACATCCACAAGAGCCTCATCTTTTCCTTCTCAGCATGATCGGGATTATTACTGTTGTTATTTACAAAACACACAGTGTTTATTTACTGTTATGTTTAAGGGAGAGAAATCTTGCAGGGATGTAACTTAATTATCTAACCAGGCCTTCTGTGTATGCATATTTTTCTCTTTTTTATAGAGAATTATAAAATTAAAGCAGTAAGGTACATACTTCAATTTTAAAATAGTCATAAGAATGGAGTATAGCATAAAGAATATAACCAGTAATATTGTAATCTTGGTATGGTAGCAGGGGGTAACTACACTTAACTGTGCTGAGCATTAAGTAGTTTATACAAATATCAAATCACTGTCTTATACATGTGCAACAATATTGTATATCAACTATACGCCAATAAAAAGAAGAAAAGTTGAAGTGGTAAGGAAACTCAGGTAGTTAAATCTGTCTTTGTATTTTATACACACAGGGATGGATCATGAACACACTGTCTTGTTGTCTCAGAAGAAACACTGTCCATGTCATTCTCTCCAACTAGATTATAAGGTCTTTGTGGATGGTGACCATACTTTATGCATCTTTTGTATTTGCTGTGGATCGCCTTCATGAGACCCATGGCCAGCCTGAATGTATATGGGAAATTCTGAGTGTGTTTGCATTTTTGTGTTTTTGTCTCTGGAGAGATGAGACCCATAACTTTTTGCCAGCTTTTGAATGGGGTGCCTGACCCCCTACAAGGAAAGCAGGACTCCTGTACTGTAAAAGATAAGACGCTGTTCTTAAGTGACTTCAAATTTAGTGGGAAGACTGGCCATAAACATCCTGATAGAGAACAGTCTCCAAGATTGATCGTTAAGTGAAAAAAGGCAGGAGCGGAACAGTGTGTACAGTATGCTACAATTTGTGTCTCCTCAGAAAGGCACAGAAACTGTCCCCTCTTATCTTTGGGAGGACCCTCCATGCCCTGCAGTGCGACGCCCTCTGGAGGGAGGGAGGACAGGTCTAGGGGGAATGGGGACCTGCTTTCCACCTGGTGCTCTGTTGTGCTTTTTGAATTTTTTAACATACCCATTTATTAAGTTAAATGCATACAATAAAAACAAATGCAGAGAAGTAAGATAAAAAGGAAATGTTACAAGGTGATTGCCAGACGGTTAGGGTTGGGCACTCAGAGGTAACCAGTGGACAGATTACTGTGGGCTGGTATAAACCAGGAAGATTTATCAGAAAAGGGGTCACAATGAACATTGTGTGCTGAGGAAGAGGACGACTGGAAGAACCAGTGGGTAATCAAGATGCCTTTGAGTGACATTCAACCAATTCAACCAGTTTTTCTAGAACTGAAATTCTGAAGGCAGATGAATTGAGTTCAGACCTAAAGAGGGTTAGGGCCAAGTTGCAGAGAGTTATGAAGTCAAGTTAAGGAATCTGTGTACTTCATGACAACTGGGACAAATACATGCTACTTGTAAATAGGGTAGTGACAAGATCAAAGTGATAATTTAGAAAACTAATCTGACGGTGATTTGCAGAGGAGGAGGAGACCAATTTGAAAGTTTTTGCAATAGAATGTACAAGAGTTGATACAGTTCTGAACTGCAGTGTTAGCTCTGAAATGTGCTGGGAAGACTCAGTTCTGTGGACAGTACTGAGCAGCTGCTCTGTGCCCAGCACTGGAAAAGACAACAAGTATAAAGAAGACTCAGAGAAGAAAGAATCAGTTCCTGTAATTCATCGATTCCGAGACACAGTTTTTAAAAAAAATACCCATAACACCTCTGAAATCAGGATGTGTCCTTTAATCATTGTGGTTTGGATTTAGCAAAGTGCAGTATTTTTCATAACTGATGAGACAGAGGATGATGTTGAGAGAAGGAGTCACAGATTATTTCATCTGGATTATTGGAGGAAGTGGTCAACTTGAGAGAAGGCTATGGTTTGGAACATAATGTTAAGGTCCGAATCTAAATATACTTGAGTTTTAAGCAGAATTGAATTGTATAGTGGAATGGTTAGAAGTAAAGACATGGAACTTGGGGAGAAGGTCATTACTGGACCCACATATTCAGAAGTCCTTCCCAGTGAGGGGAGAGCTGGTTGAAACCTTTGGAGAAAAAAAGCAGAGGGAAGAAGGCCAAGGGTTCCCATTTATATTTGGTGGTATGAGAGTAAAGCAGAGTCTATTCATGACAGCTGAGAAAATCTTAGTTCCTCAGAAAAATTTAATCATTATTTAGTTATCACTGCACTTATTTCCAGAGGGATAAGTGAAATTGTCACTCAGCAAACACCTGGTTGGCAGCTTCCCCAGTGGCGACTTAACAAAACTTGTCAACACAGTGTGACGACTGAGAAAGTGTTTGGGTCTTGCATAAATTGTTGTGATTATTTTACAAGGGAAATCTCAGTCTGTGATCTACGTTGCATTTTCCCACGTAGGTGCCAGCCTAGGAATAACCAGCGATGGCTTTTTTCAATTGGAAGAATTGCCTAGGTAAGCCAGTCTCCGTCCTGATCTCAGTGTTCATTCCCCCTCGGTCTCTCCTGCTGACATTTCTTCCACCTTCCCTTCCCAACCATTAAATGCAGGCCTGTCCTGAGTTCTGTGCTTTCCCTTCCATATTTATAACCTTGGGTACCTTAGTCACTTGCCACCCTTCACTAAAACAGATTCTTCATGCTTTTGGACAGAAGCCACTGTAGTTCTTGAACCCCGAATCAAGATGTGGAGTGGTTTTGAAAAATAAACAATGAAGTCCTGAAACTTTTCATTCTTCAGCAACTGATAATGTGTCTCAAGTTACTGATTCTGATTTTCAAAGCAGCTGGCACAGAGAGAGCTTCATAAATGAAGTCTTTGTGTCATAAAAATAGGTTTTCCTGAAATTGTCCTTTGTATGTGTTTGTCTAAACAACCTTAGTAAACTTCCGTCATGGATTTAGATACACAGAAAAAAGACAGTGAGGAAGACTATTTCTCTGATGTGAAGATGCTGCCAGTTGCAGGTTTCTAGGTTAGTGGATTGTTCCTTCTTTCATAATAAGAGGTGACACCTTAGAACTGGAGGAGGGACCCTTCTGGCCCCAGGCCTTTGTCTCCTCTGAGGAGCCCTCACTCCGGAGTCATTGCTTCAGCGGCCGCTGCCTCAGTGGGGCTGCCAGTCCAGTCTGAGGTCTTCATCCTGTGCCTTGCTGAGGGCCTTCATGGGAGGCAGCTAACAATCCATACCTGTAACTTCAACTTAGTTCACCTGGAGCCGCAGACCGTCAATAAGGGGCAAGACGGTGGCTTTGCAGTTCTGGAGCTGCAGTGAAAATGTCCCAGGAAGGTATTCAGACCAGGCAATCTTCTGCCTTCGAGAAAAGCAAACTGTTGTTTTAGATTTGCTGTCTGCTGGGCATGGAAATGTGTTGGAAAACTACCTTTCTTCCCGCATGATCCAACTCAGCCCCCCTGCCCCCCACTGTTTGCTTCTCGGGTTGAATGACATGACACATGAGAATGGATCCAGAAACGTGGACATGGCTCGTCATGTTTAGATATCACTCAATTCAGACTCCATAGAAGTATCATAGTAGAATCCTGTCCATTAAATATTGTAACGTCACTTACACACATTTTAATCCAAGGACTCTGGGAATTTAGGAAAATGAGTTAACAATTATGTGAATTTTGTTTTCTTTTTTTAAGACTCCTTCTCGTTATTATGCTGGTGAATAAGTAAGAAAGAGCAAATTCTGTAGGCCAGGTGCCATGTCCTCTGGGCTGGCTGAGTCAGCTGCTGCCCTCACTGGGCTTGTGGTTGAATGGGGGCTGGAGCATGGGCCCCCCGGGACACAGGCACCAGGAGACCTAATGCAGGAAAGAAGAGCTGTGGGATGGGGCCGTTTCCAGTGGATACTTGAATGGTAAGAGGTGGAAGAAAGGTGCCGAGCTGAGAACAAAACACCGAGCTTGCAGTTCTCCAAAACGCCAGCTTCCTCACACCTGTTTCTTGCTGTCCCTCTGTGAGGAGTGTATCTCCCAACTCCTGCGGGAGCTGCTGCTCTTCCAGGCGTCCGGAATTCCTCAAGGGCAGGAGCCGCTCCCTGTCCTGTTTAGTGTGATGCTGAGCAGAAGTAATGATAATATTTGGGGAGGAAAAGGAAGATGGATAGAGGAAAGAAGAGGAGGAGGATGCAAAGGAAGGAGAGGGGTCAATGTAGTAAGAAAGAGGAGGTGGAGACGGAGGACAGCTATTGTTTCATAGTTTCCAAACTATGAAATTTTCCTTGCATACCCTGGGGTGTAAGATTAGAGTGTCCTCACCTCTAACTTGCAGCCCTGTGGGTTCATACTTCATCCCCCGTCTAGACCATAGTGCTCTGAAGGTGGGGATTCTCAGCATGAGCACCTGACCTGTAGGAGGTACAAAAGAAAGGTTTCCTTTGTTTTTCCCCGATTGCTTCCTTCTTAGCCAAGGGCTGTAGCAGTGGTCGAGGACCAGTGGTGTTGGGAGCGTCAGAGAGCTGCGGCTCTGAGAGGGGTAGCGCTGGCTGGGGCATGGAAGTAAATAGTCTTCTCTGTGCTATTGATTCAGACCTTTGTCAGACATTTTCCAGTGTTTAACATAGTTTCTTAGACTGACACTCAGCAGGGAGTGTAGTTGTTCATTCAGATCTATCCTACAGGTTAAAACAGCTTGCTTAAATTGGACTTCAATCGTGTTGCAAACATTAATAGAATTGAATATTGGTTAAGGGGAAATACTGAGCAAAGAAGAGTGGTGGTGAGAGAGGTGTTGATTTCAGTGTTGGTACAAACATCATTGCATAAGGCATCATCTCTAGTTTTAAGGTTTTTTTGTTTCCTCTCTGCAGAAATGTAGCTAAAGAACTTTCAAAGTAACTAAAAATACATATTTTCTATTTAAAATCTCAGTGTGGTGTCCTGGTTTGGATCTTGGAACAGAAAAAGGAAATGAATGGAAAAATTGGTGGCACTGAATGGAGTGTGTGGCTTAGTAGCAATATGCCAACGGCAGTTTCTTAGTTTTGACAGTTGTACCATGGTTATGTAAGACGTTGACTTCAGAAAAACTGAGCAGAGGGTATAGAGGACATCTCTGTACTATCTTTTCGACTTTTCTGAACATCTAAGATTATGTCAGAATAAGTTCATTTCGAAGTGCTTACCCATTGCTCTCCTGTTAGCCGCAGTGTCATTGTCGGTGCGGGTTACATTGCTGTGGAGATAGCTGGGATCCTCTCGGCTCTGGGCTCTAGGACGTCGCTAGTGATAAGGCACGAGAAGGTAAACTCTGTCCTTTTCCCATCCCTTCCCTTCCATTGATGCTCATCTTTTAAAAAATCTGCAATGAGAATGTTCTCTTACATTGTCATTAACTACCAAGGTGCACAACATGGAGAGGTCGGTAGGTTGGTCCACTGGGAACAACACAGAAGCTCCCTGACTTAGACCTTCTGTCCTTCCCAGCTACCAGCTGCTAGTTGGTAATGATTTTGATTTGATCAAACTGGCTGGAATTTTCATTATGAAGTCTTAGATAGTACCAGATGCCTTAATAAAGACACATGCAGTTTTAAATATAAATGTTACTTAACTTGGACAGACTTTCAGATTAATTTCTTATTCTGGAAATAATTTCATAGGATCTGGTAGTGTTAGATTATTAACGCTCAGTCAAAAAAATTTACTAGATCCTTTGCATTAAAAGGAAACTAACAAAGATATTTGCACACCTGTGTTCATGGCAGCATTATTCACATTAGCCAAAAGGCGGGACAACCCATGTGTCCATTGGCAGATGCATGGATAAATAAGATGTATATACACAATAGAATATTCAGCCTTCAAAAGGAAGGAAATTCTGACACATGCTACACCATGGGTGAACATTGAAGACATTATGCTGAGTGAAATAAGCCAGCCACAAAAGTCAAATGCATGATTCCACTTCTCTGAGGTGTCCAAACAGCCAGACTCAGAGAAACAGATGTAGAATGGTGGTTGCCAGGGGCTGGAGGAAGGGGGAAATGAGGGTTGTTGTTTAATGGCTACGGAGTTTCAGTTTTATAAGAGGAATAAGTTCTGGACATCAGCCAGCACACCAAGGTGAATACACTTAATGCTGCAGAAATGGTTAAGATGGCAACTGTTATGTTATGCATTTTTTCACAGTTTGAAAAGTAATAATAAAGGAATCATCTAACTGCACCTCACCTTACAGATGAAGAAATTACAGCCACACGAGGTTTTGTGACTGCTAAGTAGTAGTAAAACTGAAGAGTCAGCTAAGGCCTCACAAAGCCCAGGCTAATTCACTTTCTGCCAAAACACAGCCTCCGTGCCTGCCGTTACTTGGTGTGTTTTCTGATTAATCATGATCAAGCACCACTGGCTTGTGGCACAGGATTGTGACATGGTTTGGGGCAGTACCGAGTGCTGGACCAAGGACCTGGCTGTCCCTAACAAGCATGTGACCAGAAGGTCATTTAATGCTTTTGGGACAAGAGTTATCAGATCCCTGACCGCTCAAATGCTATGATTCAAATTCCTGATTCTTTGGGCAAACGGAGGGAGGGAAATGACAGTCCTTATCAGCATGTACTGCAAAGAATTCCCTCTGGCTTTGAGACCTGTCATATAATTACCCACCTCAGAGATTTATGTCCTGAATAATGGTTTTCATAGGTGAATGGTATTTTGCATGGCTGTAATATATCCAGCAAATTGGAAGACAGGAGAAGGGCAGAGGGTAGCTCGCCTAAGTTTCGTGTGTAAGTAAGTAAATAAGGTGTGGCGTGTATAATGTGCCTGCTCGTCTGCACAGCTGCTTGGGGCTCCTGCCTCCCCGCCCACCTGCGTCCAGCTCACTCCCTCTTTTCCCTGTCCTGGCACATCCCCATTCTGGAGCTACTCTGTGAATAACTCAGGACTCCTACATTTTCCCTGCCTGGGGTTTGGTGTCTGTGTCTTACTGTTATAACACAAAGAAATCTCCAGGTCCATGCTCTTGACTCTTATGCCTGGATGGAGAGATTTTACTAGGGACCTTCCCTTAAATCACATCAGAATGAAAGCTGGCCCTGGAATACTGGAAGGGAAAAGGGAATTTCTGGTCCTCAGAGTGTGGAAAAGAGAAGCAAGCTTGGGAGGAGGGGAAATTGGCCCAGATAGTAGAGGCCGGTAAAACAGGAGTTGGTGAGGTCAGATGTAATACAGATATTGGTGGCGATGTCAGAAAATAGATTTATTTAAACTCCACTCACTAGATCCCATGAATGAAAAAGGAGATAAGTGGGAGGAAGATACTGAAATCTCCCTCCCATTTTTGTAGCGTATCTTTAATCACCACCCATCCCTCTGCTACCTCTGTTTATATACAGTTTCTTAGAAACTTTGATTCAATAATCAGTTCAAACTGCACTGAAGAGTTGGAGAATGCAGGCATAGAGGTCCTGAAGTACTCGCAGGTATGACCAAGCCCCCGGCATGCTGACAGCTGTCTGTCTGTCTGTCTGTCGTGAAGCATACTTTCTGCTTTTGGCTTCACGCCCTTATCTTATAAATACTAACTCTGAGGCTTCCCTGTCACCTTAGTGCCTTCTAGAGCACTACCAGTTCTTCTCTTTATCGTAAGAAGCTGTATTTCTCATTGATGTATTCATGAAGCCAAGATGGAAAAGGTTAGAATGGTGGTTGCATTTAGTTGAGTTAGAACTAAAACTGTAATTCTTGTGTTCGAATGCCATATTGAACATTCTTATTTTTCAGGTTTATAGTTATTTTTCAGTAAATAGTATTACAGAATCTTATTTTTTAAAGCAGACCCTTCTGGGTTTTGCAGATGAAAGAATTATGAAGTACTCTACTTCTCAGGGAATCACCTACATTTCAGAATTTTCCTGGAGGATTAGCCTTATAACAATGATTCCCCCTCCCCCCCCACAGCTTCACGCTTCTGGCATAGACCATATCAAGTAAAACAATACGTGTGAATATGCTTTGTGAATGTCCGAGTACTAGTAGTGGTGGGGCCAACGTCAGAATCACCCCGGTACCTTCCCTGAACTGTGCATGCATTCAGCGCTTCTGACCTGCTTCTCTCCTCCCCCGATTCTGGTTAAGAATGTCCGGGGAGATGAATGGTTGTGCAGTGTTGTTTCCTAGTAATGCTGCTACAGCCCTTTCCTCCCTGCATTCCAGTTGCCAGTCACTGGAATTCCAGTTGCTTAGATTTGTTCATTAAACTTGTATCACTGTTCTAAGAAGTACAGTTTAAAATACTTTCTTTTTAAGGTGAAGCGTTAGAATGGTGACACGCACTGACATTTCTGGCCATTGGCTGGATGATTTGGGGCAACCTAGGCAACATTCTGGGCCCTTAGGAATTGTAGTGTTGGTGGCCTTTGAGCAAAAAGTAAATGTGTCAGTGAGTACTATTCACATGGATTCAGTGGGGAGTTTTTAAATGTTAAAAATTCTAGTTTCCTCTTCCCTTTCTTTCCTCCCACCTTCCCCCTCAGCTAATACATTTTATTTGCCAATAGGTCAAGGAAGTCAAAAAGACTACCTCCGGCTTGGAAGTCTGCATGGTCACTTTGGTCCCTGGTAGGAAGCCCACCTTGGCCACGATTCCAGATGTTGACTGCCTGCTTTGGGCCATTGGGCGGGACCCAAATTCCAGGAGCCTGAATTTAAACAAACTGGTAAGGTGACTTAGTCTGCCTTTATGCTCTTGGCTACTGTTAGTAGCCCTGTGTTTTCCCCCACTAGACCCCCAAAACTGTGGGAGGTTTTTTTTGGATTCCTTTCTCTTTATTCCATATAACCCATTGCTGCTTCTTTGAAATAAAAAAAAAAAAAATTTTCCCTTTCTATAGTCATCATCCTACAGTAGATCCTGCCGCCTCTAATCTAGCAGTGCAGCCATTTCCTGAGGCAAGTTCTTCTTTACACAGTTCCTTTTTGCTATGATACTTGTCTCTCTGAAGTCCTGTTCCTTATTAGTAGTGCCAATCCCGATTGCTGGGCATATACAGTGTCCTGGATATTGTGGCACTTGAGATGGAAACAGATAGGAAACTGATCACTTATTAGTGTTATAATTAGTATTCTTATTTGCTTTTTTAAAATTCTGAAGGAAAGTCTGGTTTAATAGCTTGGGGTAGTGGTCCCAGAATTTGACTTAATTTTGAACCTTAGTTCTGTTCCTTATCAGTTGCATGACTTTAACCATGCAGCTTAATTACTCTTAAAGTTTCATCTGATTCATTTAAGTATGGGACAAAAATAGCACTTGGATCATTGGGTTATTAAATGAGAACGTGCATGCAAAATAGTTGGCTTATTAGATGCTGTCTTACAATATGAACCCAATAAATATTAACCAGCTGCTGTTGATGGTGACGATGATGATTTTTTCTGACATTCTGTAGTACTCTATCAGTAATAATAAAATATTGTACATGTTTGAGGTTTATCAGTTTGATGGAGCCTCTTGATAAGTGTGTAACATTTTGATTTATTGTTTTCATATCTCTTATAATGTGATTGTTTTCATTTCTTTAGGAATCTATAATGTGATTCATTTCATTTCATTTCTAAAAAAGGTATTTTTTCAGCATTTAAAAAAATAAAATATCCAGGGAGATACTTTACTCGTTTTTAATCTTATTGTTCAGTGAAATTTTGTAAAACTGATTGTTTTCATATTAACAAAATTAGTCCTCCAGCTTTTCACCTTCAGTTTCACCTAAGTCCAGTTTTCATCTATATTTGTTGAATTTTTAAGAAATAAGGCAAAAGTTTTCAGTTGCCTTTAGTGTTATTTTGATGATATAGATTGGATGATTACATGTGTAGGTCTTGGCAACATGTTACTAACCTAACTAATCTTGCAACAACTCTTTGAGGGATAAGGATGAGGAAACCAGGAGCGCAGAGATGATTCATCAGCCTGTGAGCTCCATGGGGAAGGAGGGCTGCTTGTATTACTTACCACTGTGTTCCAGTGACTAGGTTAATGCCTCATTTGTACTAGAAGTTCAGATACTTGTTGATAAACAGGTGGTTATACCAGGTTTCATAACTAGCAAAAGCAGAGCTGGGATTTGAGCTGAGGTCTGTCTGGCTCCAAAGGGTGTCCTCTTAACCACTACGCTACTTCCTTCTGCTGTCTTTCTACTTCTCTGGGGTCTGTGAAGTCACAAGATAAGCATGACACACCTTGGAGCAAAAATGTAGAAAAATTTTGGAAAGGAAATGTCAGTATGTTTTAGAGTAGAATGCAAAATTTGCTTGGATTTTTTTATTTTTTATTTTTTTATTATTTTTTATTTTGATATCATTAATCTACAGTTACATGAGGAACATTATGTTTACTAGACTCCCCCCATCTGCTTGGGTTCTTAAAGATAAAATCTTTAAGCTTCCAATAAGTCTGTTTTGATGAACTGCTTGAGGCTGTGGCCCTCTAAGGCACGAGTTAGCATGTTTCAGGAGGAGTGCTTCAGTGGAAAAGTTGGAAAGCCCTGTCTTAGACTCCCTGGCGACAGCAGGTAGTGTGCCTGATAGCTGAGGGATTGCTGGTCGTGTTTCCCTGGCCAGTTGAATTGTACATTGCAAAGTCAAGTCCTATTAAAATAACTTTTAGATAAAATATTTACCTTTTCCTTCAAGGAAAAGACATGAAACTTGCCGAGTTTCTAAGATGCTTTTCATCTTGTGGTTGAATCTTGGTGCTTCTTAGAGATTCAGACTGCATAGGTGCCTGAAACGGGGTAGATCCAGAGATTTGATCTTCCATTTTTGTTGGTAGACTAAATATTTATGTGATATCCTGCCATAATTTTAGGGAATTCAAACTGATGACAAAGGTCATATCCTAGTCGATGAATTCCAGAATACTAACGTGAAAGGCATCTACGCGGTCGGGGATGTGTGTGGAAGAGCTCTTCTCACTCCAGGTAATGTCCTGTCTCTTCTTGGGTAAGGGGGGCTGTGTGCGGTATACAAAACTGTTCAGCTCTTCACACGTCACGCCAGCTTAAGCCACTTAAAAGGAGGAGTCTCTTAATGTCAAAATGATAAGAATGTATTGAAATGATGTTGGTTTGGTACTTGACATTCTCTGAATAATAGCCATTTTTCCTAAAAATAGACTTTAAAAAATGCTTGGTGAAGACCAAAATGTTTATATAGATAATAGTCACCCTTGGAGAATGCAGTAAGTTAGAATCTGAGTTGTGTCTGGTGACAGGGGAGGAAGCAGCTTTGGGAAGAAGGAATTTAGAATGCCATTCTAATGATTGTTTTAGTCTTGATACAGCCAAGGCAGACCCCTCCACCCCACCCCATACCTCAGTCTGCTTCCTGAGGTAACCGGCACTGTTGCAAGCCCTCCATCCGGCAGTTAGCTGTGGGTGACACCACTCCCATCTGCTTTCCCTCTGGGCCCCTGGGCCTCACCAGCCTTCCCAGAGTGGCCCGGGGCCTTTCCTCAGAGTGGAAACTTACTCCGGTCACATCTCCAAAGCTTTCTCGCGCCTTTAGAAAGCTCCCTAAATAAAAGCAAAGTAACAAGAGAAGTTTCTAAAACTTCATAACATAATTGGACACTTGAAAATTATGTCAAAGTGAAGAAAAATTTCTTGTAAATCTTACTGATACCCTATTATAAGAAAAAAATCCTGTCAGTTCAAAATCAGTAAAATTAATAACTGATGCTTTTAGTGAACTCAGGCATTTTTTTCTAAATACAGGGATAGACGTAGGCTAAGGAGAATATACTTAAAAAAAATAGGAAGTAAACATACTTTTTTCCCCCAAATTGAGCAAGATTTTATTTATTTTTAAGAGGTAAACATAATTTAAAAAATAAACTTGATTTTACAATGAAACAGATACAGTTATGAAGTAGAACTGAAGATGCTTGAAACTAAAATAGTTTGCTCTGCAAATATTATAGCAAAAAGCTAGTATCCTAATTAGTAACTGCCAGATGATTGTGAGCTTGTAAATGTGTCACTTTTTTTGTCATAATAGAATGAATGTACAGAATTCACAAAAGCTGATAGTTTTGAATTGTTAAGTAATACATGGGTATGAAGTAAATATTACACTGAACACTGGGATAAAACTTGGTCGGAACTAGTATGTTAGCCAGATGTATAGATGGTTAGTAGAACAATTCTGCTATATTAAAATGAGCAATACGCTAAACACTGATTTTAAAATATCTTTGTAGTTGCAATAGCTGCTGGCCGAAAACTCGCCCATAGGCTTTTTGAATACAAGGAAGATTCCAAATTAGACTATGACAACATCCCCACGGTGGTCTTCAGCCACCCCCCTATAGGGACTGTGGGACTCACGGAAGGTAAGTATTTAAAAACGAGAGTCATTTATTATTTCACTGCAATGTAGATGTCTGTCAGCTGACAAAACCTGTCCCCGCTCCCCCAGGTTACAGTCCTGTTTGGTCAGCCTCTTCCCAGTCCTGGTTCCTTCCCCTACCAACACTTTGAGGGTAGGATTCCTTTTCCTGCACCGCCCTGTCTATGTCTTGACTTCTTTTGGCTTTTTTTATTTGAACCAGTTCCGCATCACAAGTCTAGCCCAGTAAGATACTTGGAGAGAAAGAGCTCACATTCACAGACCTTTATTACAGTATATTGTTGTAATTGCTCTTTCTTAGTTTTGGTGGTGTTAATTTCTTACAGTGCCTAATTTATGAATTAAACTTTATCATAGGTATGTATGTCTAGGAAAAACATAGTGTATGTAGGGTTTGGTAGTCCAAGGTTACAGGCATCTACTGGGGGTCTTGGAATGCATTCCCCGTGGATGGGGTGGGGGTGGGGGGTTATATAATATTACGGTGTATCTGTCATTTTTGCTTTATCATTTCTCTCTACTCACAGCTTAGTATCCATTTCTTAGGAACAAGGCCATTCCCTTACCAGAAGCACAGTACAGTTTTCAAATGAGAACATTTAAATTGATAGAATATTATCTAAACTTTAGACCTTCAAATTTTGCCAGTTATGTCAAATAATGTCATTTTAACTTTTTTTTTTGGATTCAGTCCAAGTAATACATTGCATTTAGTTTTCATACCTCTTAGGTTACCTTTAATTGAGCGACACAATTCCTCAGACTCTCTTCTGTCTTCCATGACATGGACATTTATGTTGTAGAATGTCCCTCGTGGTGGTGGTGTTTGCTATTTCCTCATGGTTTGATTCAGGTTATGTATTTCTGGCCATCACTCTCTTTGAATAGCTCTGTGGAATTGTTCAGGTTTTTGATAGATGCTTTTATTTCCCTGTCCATTATAGATGAGGCCATTTATAAATATGGAAAGGAAAATGTGAAGATCTATTCAACCACCTTTACCCCAATGTATCATGCAGTTACCAAAAGGAAAACAAAATGTGTGATGAAAATGGTCTGTGTTGACAAAGAGGAAAAGGTATGGGAAAAACCCGGGAAGCTGGGGAGTGTCTTCAGGGGTGGCTGGGATGGGTGTTCTGATGAGATGGGAAGGGAGAAGACCAGTTGTTAAGCCTGCTCCAATTCAACTGGTGCATTCCCATATTCATCTGTCTCTATGTATTGGTGTTCTTCACATTATTTCATTTAGAAAGGTTTCCACTGCTTTTAAAGCACAAGAGAGAAAGGTTGAAAGCCACAGAAAGCTTGCTATCATTGATGAATAGGCCAGAATGGATAAGCAGCTCAGAAATACTGGTCACGGAAGAATGAAATGTAAGATGAATTTAGATTTAACGTAACCCATCAGTGAAGATGTGGAAGTTGGTTCAATAAAATTTTGATAATCAATTACCAAGTTTTGGTTTAACTGTTTGAGGAACTGCCCAACTGTTTTCCAAAGTGGCTGCACCACTGTACATCCCCTCAGCAATGTGAGGATTCCAGTTCTTCCATATCCTTGTCAACACTTGTTACTGTCTTTTTTATTATTAGCCATCCTTGTGGATGCACAGTGGTATCCCATTGTGATTTTGGTTTGAATTTGAATAGGCTTTTTAAAAAATACATTTTTTTGGAATTGGTTTTGTTTTGGTGTTAGCATTTTTCTGAATTGAATTGAATATTAAAGTGAAATGTAGAAGTATGCCTTGGGAACATAGCTTTGTGAGGGACAGTGGCTTCATTGAAGATTTAGATGTAGTTCCCAGCTCCTCTTATCAGAGAAGTAGAGTCTGTCCTGATTCAGTGGCCTTGTACCCAAAAGCCACAAGACACAGCGACTTGTGCAGGACATCCCTGGCTTACAGAAATCACCATCGCTGAGGACTGAGAAGAGGCAGAGAATCAGAGCAAAGAGAGCAAAGGAAGTGGGGGTTGGCAGGAAAACCGAGGTCGCTGTATCTTGACCCTGAGTATTCATCAGCCTAAGATTTCCAGATACTGAATCTGTGAGATCCCTACTTATCTCTTTATATCAGCTGTTTCTTCATACTATTGATCATTCATTTGATAAACGTTAGCTGGCAGTCTGTTAAAGACTAAGCATTGGAATATGGAGAGGAATAATATAAAGTTCCTTCCATCACCTGATACTCTTTATAAATTCAGTTTAGACTATTACAATATTTCACCATCTGGCTGCGTTTAATGTATAAGCAATGCATGATTT